CTGTATATTACAGATGTTACTGTGGGTGTTTGTGGGCGTGGCAGTGATGGGTGTTGGCGGGGAAGTGAGTGAAGGCGGCCCTCACTCACCGCTGAGGAAGGATGGGTCATACTGGCAGCAAGTCTTCTCTCCCAGCACCTCACACAGTACCAACAACATGGATGGCGACGCCTATAACCCGGCTAGCGACAGTCACAACTACAACACTAGCCTCCTCGACCAAGGCAGCTTCTTCAGTATAGTAAACCAGAACGGAAACATGCACAAGTTACTCAAGGACAACATAGGAACAGGCGTCATGGATAGGGTCATGAATTACTTCTTTGAGAAGATGGGTACCAGACGCAGCAGGAGTTTTGGGTTGACATATTTGGCGGACCAGAACAACCACCAACCACACACTGACTGGTATGTTGAGCTCTATATCTTATCATCAATTATAACTTTATATAACATTGTTGTGTTATACCCCTTTATATAACAATGAGGCTACCTCAACTAGTGAACACAATGTGGCCACCACACCAAGTGGACACAATGACGGCCACCACAAGTAGTGGATAACATTGTGTTTTTTTACTAAGAAACAATAGTTAAATGCACAGTTGTCGGTTCGACATCCCAAGGAAATTGACTGACAAGAATAAAGGCACTTTACATGAACGAGGCACAACTTTTGTTCAACATTTTGTTGTCTTTGGCTTCAAGTCTGTCAATCTCCGGGCGATTATTAAGGCAAATCAACCTCTGAAAGGGTATTAAAGTCTATCTACCTCTGGAGAGATATTAAAGTCTATAACCTCTGGATGGTTATTAACGCTTATCAACCTTTGGAGGGTTATTAAGGTCTATAAACCTCTGGAACGTTATTAAGGTCTGTCAACCTCTGGAGGGTTATTAAGTTCTATGAACCTCTAGACGGTTATTTAGGTCTATAAGCCTGGCAAGTCCTTATGAGAGACCAAATTCCCGGATGAGTGGACGGTCAAGAAGACGAAAGAGCAAATCTAAGACCATGAAAAGTGCCTTGATCCAGTGTCTTACTTTAAGAGTAAATATAAGGACTTCTTTTTTATGCTTTCAGCCTTTTCTTATTAAGGATATGGGGTAATATGTGTTTTCGAACCCACTTAGTGCATCACTGCCGTCGAAATGGCAGTGATTATGAGTATTTCTTGATGTTCTGCAGGCGTTCAGGTAATTTATAATTGTATTTTCTTTCAACAATATTCAGCATTGTATTTTAACACCGGATGGCTATTTAAGCTTCATGGGCTTGGAGGGATGATATGAAGCCTCTTCCCAAGGGAAGTATACGATTAATTTGTGAGTATGTGTATAAGTATGTGTAAGAATATGTGGGCGTTTACCTGTGTCAGTTTATATGTGTGTGTACATGTATATATAACTGTATATCTGAATATATGAACACTTTTGCAAAACCTTTATCCTGATCCATTTCAACCTCCCACAGGCACCACAATACTGGAGAGATTTATAAAGCTGACTACGGAAGTAACTTCGGTAGTTATTCTTACGAAAACGAGTACGTCAAGAGCCCCAACAGCGGTCTCTGCATAGACACAAGTAACCACTACTTACGCAGCGACGGCCCCTTGTGTTTAGACGTGTACACGGTGGTCTCCATCGCTGCCGTAGGAGTTCTCCTTCAGGTCCTCCTCCACTTCACAGTCGCCGCCATCTGTCCCATCTCCAGCACCCGGAGCTTGGTCTTCAATATCACTAATGATAATTTCATCAATGTTGGTTCGAAGGGGGGTAATCAGTCTCAGAATCAAGATCAAAATCAGGTTGAATATCAAGATCAAAATCAGTTTGAGTATCAGAATCAAGATCAGGAAGAATACCAAGACGAAATGGAATATCAGAGTGAGTCTCAGGATCAGTTTCAGAACCAGGATCAGACTAACACTCAAGATGTAACGGCTACAGATAATGGCAGACGCTTACGCCAGAATACTATAACAAACACTGGCAAGGAGTTGAATAACCAAAAGATAGTTGATCTCAACAATGATGGTGGTGAGGTCTGGCCTAAGAACTCGAGTCTCACTAAGTCTAGCGATATTTCACAGCGTCTAGGCAGTTTAGATCAAAGTAAATTTAACAATATCAAAGGAGAACTGCGCAGCGCTTCTCACAAGTCAGAAATCTTAACCAGGATACAAGAATGGTCAAAGTTGCCTATATGGCAGGAAATGGCGAGAAAAATGAAGGAATCTGATTCAGAACCGTGGAATTTAAGATTATTAACTTTAGGAAATTGGCCAAATTTTGATTTTGGTTTAGGTGACTGGGCAAATTTTAATATTTTAGGAGACTGGAACGATGAGAGTTCGACTTCAGTAACCTTTCCAAAAGACTATATATGTTCAGTGATCAATACATTTCTTAAAGGGTAGACATGTAAGGCGTTAACAGGTTGACATCAATATTATTATTAATATTAATAGTCGCCGTAGTAGATAGATAGATATATATTATAGATAGATAGTAGGTAGATATTTATTATTATTATTACTGATCTTATCATTAATGCCACAAAATAATAAGAAATTTAAGATTTAACAAAAACATTATGGATTTTTATGTATATTATTTATATAAAATAATAAATAAATGAATGACTAAAGTTACTGTAAGCGAAAGAAAATTATTCAACCTAATACAAAATTAGACAAGATAATGTCAAGCCAATGTCTTTTACATTTCACTTTATATATATATATATATATATATATATATATATATATATATATATATATATATATATATATATATATATATATATATATATATATATATATATATATATATATATATATATACGTATGTACATATATATATATATATGAAAACAAGCCTGAATGGTCCCCAGGCATATATGCAACTGAAAACTCCACACCCCAGATGTGACTCGAACCCATACTGCCAGGAGCACTATGCAACTGGTGTACAGGAGACCTTAACCACTCGACCATCACGACCATACAAAAGATGATGGTAGCCTAGGCTAATTGCCTATCATCCCGACGGCACTCTGATGGTAATCTTGGGCATAGTATTTTATCAAATCACCTCATTTTGGGGGGCCACGTGAGCAATACAAATGCGAACAAGCCTGAATGGTCCCCAGGCGTATATGCAACTGAAAACTCCACACCCCATAAGTGACTCGAATCCATACTGCCAAGAGCACTATGCAACTGGTGTACAGGAGACCTTTGTACGGTTGTGTGAGTCGAGCGGTTTTGGGTGAGGTGATGTACAAATGTCAATCACCTCACCCAGAACTTTTGTACCATATCACCTCACCCAAAGCGAGTATAAGTATGGATGTATTTTGAGTGTTTACAGGTTACAGTTGTGTGTGTAAACTAAAGTCTTTGAAAATGTAATAAGTTATTACTAAATGCGTTCAGGCGTCAGACTAGAAATAAACATTAATTTTGGAGAATTGATTTTTCAATTACCATCGACAGTGAAAAGAAACAAGAAAAATTGAGAAAATTCGTGTTAGAATTATTAATCTTACTTTTTCGGTCATATTCAACAACATACATATATATATATATATATATGCAATTGACGATCACAAAACACTGATCATTTTATGCGGAAAATCCACAGAGAAATATGAAATGAGGTGAACGTTTCGGCTTTGTTAAAGCCTTTGTCAACACCAGACTGACTCAAACACCAGTCAGTCTGGTGTTGACAAAGGCTTTAACAAAGCCGAAACGTTCACCTCATTTCATATTTCTCTGTGGATTTTCCGCATATATATATATATATATATATATATATATATATATATATATATATATATATATATATATATATATATATATATATATATATATATATATATATATATATATATATATATATATATATATATATATATATATATATATATATATATATATATATATATATATATATATATATATATATATATATATAATCATTGTTGACGGATTACAGAGGGTAAAAAAAGAACTGCAGAGAACACAGGTCTTAATCAGACTTCAGCTGAAATATTTTCATCATTAATAACAATCTGAACAACTCATAATTACACAAGCAGCTTGATACAGACTTCTTACACTACAACGTCTATGTTTTAACATATTATATATTGGAGGTAAGACTCTTTGTTAATGATAACAAAGAGTTCTACCTCCAAACTTATAATGAGCCCCGGGATTATATTGAACGCCCCGGAGCTGTGTTGAACCACCTGAATTGTGTTGAGAGCCCATGGACTGTACTGAGGTCCTAAACTTCTAAATAATTTACGACATATTAAAAATAAACTATTAAGAAACAGTGTATGGCTATCTCTACCAAAGACTATTATAATTATGATGCAGTGTATGGCTATCTCTATCAAAGACTATTATAATTATGATGCAGTGTATGGCTATCTCTATCAAAGACTATTATAATTAGGATACAATGTATGGCTATCTCTATCAAAGACCATTATAAGCCTTGACCGTCTTTAATTAATATTGTACCTACAAGTAGTTGAATTTAATTGACTGGGGTCAATACTATCTTTAAAATCACTTTAGTCAAAATGTTTTAGTACTAATTATTTCAGACATAGATTTTCAATTTGGAAATTTAAATATATGAGGAACAGTTGCATTAGAGAAAAGACATATAACTTCTTCAAATTTATTAAAAACAGACGTTTCGGTGAACATATATCATCATTAGTGCTAAAATATGGGAATAAATTACATAGGAAGATTAGGTAGAATTATAAATAAATAGTTAGACAACGGCTGCGGGGTTTATCGTGGGAATATGTGTGTGTGTGTGTGTGTGTGTGTGTGTGTGTGTGTGTGTGTGTGTGTGTGTGTGTGTGTGTGTGTGTGTGTGTGTGTGTGTGTGTGTGTGTGTGTGTGTGTGTGTGTGTGTGTGTGTGTGTGTGTGTGTGTGTGTGTGTGTGTGTGTGTATGTGTGTGTGTGTGTGTGTGTCTCCTCGTTCTGGTTCCTCTTGTTTCCACTCATTCTGCTCCCTCTCATGTGTCCCGGCCTTCTCCAACAACGCGGGGTTCTCTTCCACTTGTCTATGTAACTCCTGAGTGACGAACAAAGGTATTCATGCTGGCGCCGAATACTCAATAATTGCTCGTGTGTATGTGGTGTACCGCATTCTAAACTACTGCTGTGTGTAAATACCTGAAGACATCATTTTTCATCTACCAGTCTTTGCACTGGTGGTACAGGATTTGTGTGTTTCAGGTTCGATGTGACTCTTACGAAGACTCTTATTCTCTTATATATAGATTAAACTCTTTGTCAGACTCTTGGAGTTGCTTCCCCTTCCTCGTGTTTCTCGTGATCAGCCTATGTGTTTATGTTAATTTGTGCAGGTATAATCCAATACAGTTAGTTACTAATTTGAAGACAATGCATCAGCTCTCACATTTTGTTTTCAGTTCGTTCCCAGGCAGGATGAGTCTTCAAATATAGACGTGTTCGTGAATTGTATATAGTCACATCTTAGCGGTTATCAGCCGTAGATCAAAGACTTGCAATTAACCACTAACAAATCCTCTCAGTGCCGGGCATAAGCTTCGTTTGGGGAAGAAGCGAGATTCAGTGAACGATTTAGCCATTTCCTGCCACAATGGCCACATTGACCATGCCCTCATCGAGGCCAACATACCGAAGCCCCGGGAGTCGTTACCACCTTCTTGATCATCAAGAAGGTTCTTCATCTTGTTCTTCACTCGTTCTTTCACAGGCTTGTGACCTGGACCTGAACGAGGAAACGGAGACCTTGTGTTTCCAGACCGTGCTGATCGATGATGGTGTTCTTTTAGAGATCTTTCATCTTCAACCGAATTATCAGTTATATCAGCAGTCTGGGTATTAGTCTGAGACTCTCCCTGATTTTGATTTTGATCCTGTTGCTCATGCTGACTCTGAGTCTGGATTTGTAACTGATGCTCATCTTGTTGTTGGTTCTGATCTTCATGTTGCAGCTGTTCTTGGAACTGTTCCTCAGCCTGCATCTGGTTACCACCATCGGCTTCAACTGTGATATTATTTGCATTTCTAATGCTGAAAACCACATCATCAAAATTACCGAACGAGTTGGAAGCTGGACAAAGGGATTCGACGGAGAAGGAGAAGAAGATCTGGAGGAGGACAGCAAGAGCAGCGATGGCGATGGCGGTGGACACGTCCAGACACAAGCTGCTGCTGTGGAAGCTGGTGTACACATCAATACAAGCGCCATCGTCACTAGCTTGTCTATTGGGAGCCTTCACTGGCTCACGCGTGCGCAGTTCACCTTCTCCCTCATACCAGGTGTATGTATTTTTGTCTCCGTGAAACCTGTGTAAAGTAAATTATGTAGTTATGAAGTGAAAGGATTGTAAAATAATATATTATATGCAAATATTTATCATACACTTACAAACTACAGTATATTTTATGATGCAATTCCACAAACGTCAATTTCACTAATCAATGTAACTAAAAAGTTATAAAGAACGAATTCAAGAGTCCCTGCTAACGTGATTCCTAATGACTTTGTAAGTTATTACTAGCCTGACGGCTGAGTGGACAGTGCTCAATATTCGTAGTCCTAAGGTTCCGGGTTCGATCCCCGGTGGAGGCGGTAACAAATGGGCAGAGTTTCTTTCAGTCATTTACGACTAATGCATAAAATAGAAAGGAAGATAATAAAGGAGAAAATACCCCCCAATATATATATATAAAGTTACATTTCATGATAAGCTCAACAAACCAGTTAGCGTGTGGTTGGTGGTTGTTCTGGTCCGCCAAGTATGTCGTCCCAAAACTCCTGCTGCGTCTGGTACCCATCTTCTCAAAGAAGTAATTCATGACCCTATCCATGACGCCTGTTCCTATGCTGTTCTTGAGTAACTTGTACATGTTTCCGTTCTGGTTTACTATACTGAAGAAGCTGCCTTGGTTGAGGAGGCTGGTGTTGTAGTTGTGACTGTCGCTAGCCGGGTTGTAGGCGTCGCCATCCATGTTGTTGGTACTGTGTGAGGTGCTGGGAGAGAAGACTTGCTGCCAGTATGACCCATCCTTCCTCAGCGGTGAGTGAGGGCCGCCTTCACTCACTTCCCCGCCAACACCCATCACAGCCACGCCCACAAACACCCACAGTAACATCTGTAATAAAAACAAGTTTACCAGCATGAAACTGATACATGTAACTGTCACAGATCTTTTATCTGACAATGGAATGAATTGCTGGTACTAAGACTACTGCTGATATTACTTCAGTACTAATACTGAACTACGGTACTTCTATTATTATCGTACTACTATTATTATTGTACTACCGTACTACTATTATTATTGTATTATTGTACTATTTCTATTTTAGTATCACTTTGGTTAATAATGTTTTACATATTTTTCACTTAAAGTATATTAATTTATTATTTGTTTTAAGCTAAAATTACTTCAATCGTACAGGTATTGCAATAATATAGAACTTTCAATATATTTATTACAAGATTGTAGAACTTTCTGTTCAGTTATTGCAGTTATTTATTGTTATTTTTATATTGATGCATGATATTTGTTTTGACATTTGCCGTCCACCGCCGTTTTTATTGCTATATGTCTATCCCACCGTCGTTTTTCCTCTCATCTTACTCTTCCAATCATATTCTTATAGCAATGATACATTTCACCCAAACTTGTCATTACCATGTGCATCTCTCTGCTACAAGGGTCTGTTAGTTGCACACACAAACACTTTCCTCCATTTTGTGAGCCGTGGAAGTTCCTGTAGAATACCGTTTCATCAGTTCTAAGTCAATAACGGATACTCTAACGGATATAATATGTCGAAGACATTATTAAAAGAAAAGTGAGCCGCTTGATCTTCAACTATTCTACAGGAACTTCTTTTCCACGAGTCACAAAACGGAGGAAAGAGTCCTGTATGATATTATTGATAGAAATGTGACCTCCCCCACTACCGGAAATGACCAAAAGATAGAGTTTTACAATCTACTACAAGAGCAAGAAGACCTTGCTCTTCTATCTACCATGCTCTTGCTGTCTTGCTCATGAAGAGATCTCCTGACAAGCAAAATGTCTTGAAAGAAACGAATATCGTCTATGGTTTCACATAGACGATATTCTGCTCACCCATATTCTTATCACCCATTCTGCTCTCTTGGGCACTATCATCCCATCGATCTCAATATATAGGCAAGACAGCAACATGTCTTTCATGGCACCTGACAATGCACAAACAACAAGGCTCCATCAAAGAACATATAATTTATATTCACAACCAGATCATCACCAGCTATAAATATCCTGATGAACAACACCAAAATAATCGACATATTCTACGGCAATAAAAGATTAGACATCAATGAAGCACTACATATAAAAGAACCTCAAGTAGCTATAAACAGCCAGCTCACACTAAGGAATATTTTACCATCTTCAAGATCAAGGTAAATGTTTCTAGCACCCACTGTCCCAGCCATCATAAGAACATAAGAACTAAGGAAACAACAGAAGGTCTATTGGGCCGTACGATACCTTAATTTCTTTCTTTTTGGTGATATATTCTGCTGCTCAAGCCAGCTTGTACACCTTTCACCTCTGCCTTTGAAAATGTTGATAGGTTCAACGAAACGTTAAACATTTATATATATATATATATATATATATATATATATATATATATATATATATATATATATATATATATATATATATATATATCGCTCAAAAACATACCTTTTTACGTAGAGTTGTACACAACGCATCCACAAACGTTTATAAGATAACAGCTTTAGTGTTCTGTCTATTCCTGTACCACAGTTAGCTGAGCTACCCATCCAAGCCCATCACCAAGTCACTGGTTCAGTTAATGAAGAGTTCCAGCCCTTTCAAGCGCGTGTTACCGCCACGGCAAACTCCTAAGACGAGAGGAGTGAGCCCTGCCACCGCGCGCTAGCAAATGTATGTGAGAGCCGAGCAGAGACCTGGTAATAGCCTCTTGCTGACGTCCGGTGTCGTCTGCCAGCGAACGAACGCCAAGGGTACGACACGCGATGTAGGTAATTGTCAAGAGAAAGCGCTAAGCATGTTTGAGGATAGACTAAAAGCTAGGACACGAGGACTAAAAGCTGGGATATTCCAACTAAGAGTTCAATATGAGAACAGATTAAGAGCTAGGATACAAGAACGTATTGAAGGATCACAATCCACCCACTTTGACAATTGAAGGTCGAACGCTGAACCTTCATGAATCAAGGTCATTGTTCTACCGACCAGGTCAGATGGTTGTTTCAACGCGCAATGAAGAATACGGTGATCTGGAGTTATCTCAAGACCAATTGGTGCTGGATTCGATTCCCAGGCAGGGACTGGACTCAATTTTCTGATGTGGGTTTTGGTCATCATTAGATTATGTAATTCTCATGTGCGTACAGTATTATAGAACGGAAATGGGTTTACTCTCTCTAAACTCTCTAAATAGGTTTACTCTCTCTAAACTCTCTAAATGGGTTTACTCTCTCTAAACTCTCTAAATGGGTTTACTCTCTCTGAACTCTCTAAATGGGTTTACTCTCTCTAAACTCTCTAAATGGGTTTACTCTCTCTAAACTCTCTAAATGGATTTACTCTCTCTAAACTCTCTAAATGGATTTACTCTCTCTACGCTTATACAGAGAAAGATGATCCAGTTAATCCCATGACTTTGAAGCCTCTCACGTGATGAAAGATTAAGAAAGCTTATTTGACATTATCTTGAAAGACAAAGAACAGTAGTGTACATAATTAATGTAAACAAATATTTGAAAGAGAATATCAAATGAGATATTATTGGTATAGCAAATACTGGATACAAACTATAGAAATTTCGATTCACAAAAAATCTATGTAAAATCTGGTTTGGTAGTAAGAATATTAATTATTGCTACCTCATTACTGTGTAATATTATAGTAGTGAATTGTAATGATCACTAAACAGTTCGAACCTGGGGGCCGTGTGGGTGTTAACTACCAACAAGCTCAGTATTATACCCATTCTGTTAGTCGATAGCGTTATAAGTGCACTTAAAATAGTTTGGCCAGACCACACACTTGAAGGTGAAGGGACGACGACGTTTTGGTCCGTCCTGGACCATTCTCAAGTCGATCCTTATAATACGATAGTATTAGTAGATACTTATAATAGCGTTGTTATATATATATATATATATATATATATATATATATATATATATATATATATATATATATATATATATATATATATATATATATATATATGGGAAGAGGGTCATAAAATAAGTGCTGTGCACGCCAGATGGAAGCCTCCAGGGTAATACGTTGAGTCAAATTAGTTTCTGTGACGTCAAGTCTTCTCTTGCGCGAAATGGTGAACTCCGGTGGCGGCTGCGTAACATGATGGTTGTGTTAACTGATTTTCGACCTTAATGCGTGTGTCAACAAGATCGTTTCTAGTCGCTGATATTTCAACTCCCTACATGAGCATTTATAACCAGGAAACCCAAAAGCTTCACTACAGTTGTAGGTGGTTAGTAACAAACACCAGATGACGCTGCAGTGACCATCATGGATGCCACTGAAGAGCTTGGGCTTTATTGGTCAACCTGCCACTCTGGAAGAAAAGATTAGAAGGGGGACATCTGTGCCAACTTTCCAATGGTAGAAGAAGTGTTTCTTAAAGTTAAAGCCGTCAGGAGTAAAGTAAGGTAAGGTGTTTTGCTCAAGAGAAAGCGCTAAAATTAGTTTGACTGTATAGAACTTGGAAGAAATATGAGGACAAGGAACTGGGATGGGTCTGAAGGAAAGAACGGTGCCCCAATCGCTTGGTCCATTGGCGATCCAACACTAACCCGGAAAGATGCGAGACATGTTATTTCGTTAAATAACATCCGAGGGCACCTTATTTATTCACTCAACTTCATTGTGATTGAAATCCCCAAGTATTGGAATCTTTCCTTGTCACAATGGCTGTATTTTTAATTATTTTTAGACAAGTCTCGTTGCAATTGTCATATACTTCTCTAAACGTTCTATTGCTTGTTGGGGGAATGTAAATCATCGCTTCATCTTTCTTTATGTCACCAGCTATTCCTATTTCCAGTATGTACCCTTGCTGATTAGTTTCCTCTGATACTTTTACTTCCTCAAAGCTCCATTACAGTGAAGGGCTACGCCTCATTCACTCCCTTTTCACCGTATCATTTATTAATACTTGATGTCCTCGTGGGAAGATTTGTAATACTGTCAGTTTCGTTTCCGTTATTGCTATAATCTGTAGCGGTTCTTCTGCCACCCCTTAACTCTACCCCTTCATTTGAAATTTCATGAGCATTAGTGTACATGAAATGACAAAATGGTAAACGTCCGAATAAGCTTTTAGGACATGGACAAAGGAGCCAGCCAAGCATAATATGCGTTCCAACTGAGACCCAGTCATAAGTGTGCTGCTCTGGCATACTTACCTAAAGAAGATAAGATAAACTAAACCTCACCAAACTAGAGGAAAGAAGGAATGGGGCAGACATGATCACAACGTACAAGATTCTAAATGAAACTGACCAAGTAGATAGATAAACAATGTTCAGAGTAAGAACAGTATAACGAGGCGACATAAATGGACAGAGAAAACATAAATAAGTCACAGAGATGTCAGAAGGAACTTCTTCAGTTTAAGAGTCGTAAATATATATGGAACGGACTAGATAAAGAAACTATTGAAGCCAATTCGATTCGTAGTTTTAATTGTAAATATGATGAAAAATACGAGTAAAGAGTCATTGCATTAAACTACTGATGGTCGAAAGTCAGGGCTTAAGAGCAGACGCTCAACCCTGCAACCACATCTAGGTGGTACATACAGTTAACAAATTAACTTGACTAGGAAGTAATGTGGTGAACGCAAACCATACACAATTTCAAATGTAGATATGATAGAACGTAATAGGCTCAAGAACCTGTACACAAGTTAATTAACAGTTGAGAGGTGGGACGAAAGAGCCGAAGTTCAACCCCCACAAGCACAGTGCGGCGGGTACACACACCTGAAGGGGAGAAATGCGTTCACTCGTGCGTTTACTACAACCAGCAGAGACAAGCAGCCATAAAGGAAGTATTTTGAGAAGTGTCTTCTCCGAAAGACCAATCACGGAGGCGCTTGCCTTGTGAACCAATCACTGAGCCGGGCCAGAAATCAAGCACAGTAATAATTTAAAGGTAAACGTGTGTATCCAAAGTACAGTTCTACAGGACCTTCAAGGTTACATTCAGCAGAAATCTTACAATACAGATGCCAGCACATGTAATATCTCAAATTACTTACGATACACCACTGTCTATATTCATCACTGAATAAAATTTAATAACGCCAAACAGAACATGACATCATTTAATGGGAGACTTTTATCAATCTCTGTTTTCCGTCTGTGTTATTGACCAGTCATAAAAACATAAGTTTAAGGAAATTACAGAAGGCTTATTGACCTATACTAGTAACGAGGCAGTTCTTATTTATATCCACTTAAACTTATTCATAAATATGTCAACCCCATATATATCCCATTATCAACTGCCTCAAAAATGTTAGAAAATAATGATTCGTCAAACAAATTCGTCAAACAAAAAAGGTCCTTCATAAAACCACAATGTTAAACAATTATTAATCAATGTTGATCAAGATGTAGACTAATGTTTCTTGCTGCTATTGATCCAAGCAATTTTGCCTCACTAGATATTAAGCTAATTGGCAGATAGCATAACGCAAGTGATCCATTTATCTTCTTAAAGACTGGCACAACATTTGACACTCTCCACGATTCTGGCACTTTGCACAACGGTAATGATTTATTAAATAATGAAGCCAAAGGGTCACTTAGCTCGTGAATACTTTAGGACCCCTGGGAAAGACTTCGTCTAGTCCTAGGGACTTGTTTGGTTTACATTTGTATATGTGTGTGATAACTTCTCCCATAGTAACGACGAAACAATTCAAGTTGCCTTATTCACTGCCTACACAGATTTTCTCAGGTGTTGGTAAAATTTCAAGTACTTTTGTAGTAAATACAGAGACAAAATAATTATTTAGATTCCACTCTTTTCTTGATCATTATATATTTCATGACCCAATTCGATTTTCAAATGACCCGTTATCTCCCTGGTCTCTGTTTTATATATCTGAAAGAACTCTAGCATTTGATTTTTTCTGGTCGGCTGAACGCACTTCAAATTTCAGTTATGTTCTTAGTAAGCTCTGCTATCGAGTTTGATTTCGAGTTGCTGGAACCTTGACGTGTTGAGACGAGAGCAAAATCTAATAATTTGAACACAAGTACTGGCAGCCTCCTCAGCTACGAGCCATTGTTGAAACAGACGCTACCATCGTTAGGGAACTCTTAATTCAAAGTTCATGTTGATGATTTTGCTGTATTCTGAGTTTGCCATAGATTGCCGACCTCTCTATGTTCGAGAAGGAATTTTTATTAATACCTTCAAAGAATACCTGATCAACCGCGCTGTAATTCGTACATCAGACCGAGAGTAGAGGTCTCTAACAGCCTTGTTAACCAGACCACCAACAAGGTATGGACAGAGACCGGGCCGCGGAGACATTAATCCTTTTCAGTCACCTCAAGGTAACCTCAAGGTTAGGTATATATTTAAATATTATGCTCTTCACTGTACAAATTGAAAAATAAAATATCCATATCTAAAATAATTAATCTTTAACCTTGCAGAGTTCAAATATCACTATATAGACCATCTATTTTCTCTTTCTTGGTCGGTTACACAAAGAAACTCTTTCGCTTGGTGGCCATTTTGTAACATGGTCGCCATGACTGACTTAGAGAGAATATACAGATATCGTCACACTATAATGGTCTACAACTGTGCAAATGTGATGCTAACGTCTTACGATCTATTATATATGAT